TCCTCCTCGTAGTCCTTGGTCCCCCAGAGCCAGAGTGAGGAGGGGGCAGGATGGACAGCGGGTCTCAGGAATCGGCAAAGACAGCTGGGAGCAGCCCGCCCTCCCTACCAACACACCCGCCAGCTCGGGTCACCCTCCACGTGCCTACACCACATCACTGGCCCTCTACCAGACACAGACGCCCAGTGAGGACACCCAGAGCCTCGCATGAGGCGCTTCCTTCCTGCCTCACAACTGTGCCCTCCTTCTCTGGTGCCCTTGGAGGCCCCATCTTTCCTCTTTGATAATGATCAAGCCGGTGGCCTTGTCCCACCTACAGGGTGTCTTCATGGACTCTGGCTTGGGGGAGAACTTCCTGCCTTCCCTACCTGTCTCCACTGTGCTGTTCCTGCCCCCCATTTCCACCGCCTCCCTTCTCTTGCTCTTCTCCAGAGCTCCCTGTATTTCTCCAATGTCAGATGATGACCCCTCTGAACCCCCTCTTGGCCACGTGCCAACTCTCCCAGCCCCACAAAGAAAGCTGTAGTTAGGGGCAAAGGAAGCCACCTCCATTCTTTGTTTTTCTTCAGTGTCTTTTTCCTTCTCCCTGTCCTTACCCCGACCCCTGCCAGGCCCCACGCCTCCATTTGGCTGTCTCTGAGGCCCGAAGCTAAACTCTATTCATACACCTCCAGGCTCAGAGGAAGAGGATGTACAGAAGAAGGGATGGAGGGCAGACAGACATTCAGAGGGAGTCTGACTGAGAAGGATGAAGAGTGCCCGTTGGGAGCACGGAGAGAAGCGGAGGCGGAGGGAGGGGAGGACAGAAGGCCAGGGGTGGAGACCTGTGGGGCTGGACACTGGCACTCAGTGGGATTCCCAACAGGCCTCGAACAAGCTCCCAGGGTTACTTCCGAGCCTTGCCTCTGCTGTGGATCAGGGCTCTGAACTCACAGCCTGCCTTCACTTGCTGTGGGACTGTCCAGGATTCCAGGAACTCATTGATCCTAGCCTGCTAAAAGAGGTGAGCTTTCTATTTTTCACCTCTCCCACATCTGTAAGCCCCACCCTGTGCGTTAAGAGACACTCCCAAATTATAACGGTTTCCACCTGCCTGGAAACACCAACCACAAAGGCATCAAAGCCATCACTTGCTACCTCCTAGAAACCCCCGTCCTCAAATCTGGACTTCACATCCAGTAACGAACGCTGCCCACTCACACTGTGTTCGGTACACTGCCAGCTACGGAGCTGTCCCATCCCCCAAACCAAGAGAGGTGTCCCACCACTGACGCCCTGTCTCCGGCCCCGCCCTAAGCCACAAGGTCACAGCACACACCCTACGCTAAAGTCAAGGCCCACCCCACCCCCAAACCGCCGCAGCTGCAGCTCAAAAGGAGGCTGACTGGACCTGGGGATCTGGAAAAATGGTCGGCCCACTTGCTGGTTCACTGTCTGGTTCACTGTCTTATCTACACCGGCTGCTACCCCACTAATACCTGCGGGAGACATCCCCACCCAGTCACCAAGACTGTCTCACACAGTCCTGGGTTCTTCCAAGGTACTGATCAGACCCAGCAATTCAAGCCTTGCCCCCCATGACAACTGAGCTCCGGCTCCTCAGATCTTCAAGGCTCCTGCAGGGGAGTGTCAGAATCTCAGGGCACGACCCTGAGTCTATGCTCATCGCCTCTGTGACCCTGCATCACCTTCACGTTGGGGCACTCTACACTTTCGTGTATGGATGGGGGGGGTAGAAGAGAGGGTGGTGATTCAGCCCTAATCCTGCCTTGGCTTTCAGAGGGTATCAGCCCCAGGGGACTGTAAGGCCACTCCAGCGTTCACTTGTCCAAGCCTGTCACCGTTAACCACTTCCCTCCCACTAGAGCTAAACTTACTTTGGCTTCTCTTAGCCCTTCAAGAACCAACATCCCAGAGGCCCTGGGTGGATCATCTAACCCCTCTCTCTCCTCTGACTCAACACCCTGCAGCCCCAGACTCAAGTTGATAAAGCTTGTGCCTGACTCTTCCCCAGTCCAGGGACCCCTCTGAGCCCTCAGACATCCCCCTACTTCTCAGTTTGTCCAGGCCTAGTATGTGAGAAATTCCCTGGTGGGGCAGGGGTGCTGCAGTAATAAATGGATGGATATGGATTTGGTTGTGTGTGTGTTTGCTCCTTTATTTATTCATTCAACGAATACTTTCTGAGCACTGACACTGTACCAGGGACGTACTGCAGACATATAGACGAGTAGAGGAGTCTCCTCCCTGTGAGGTTTATGGGGAGACATGAAAGCCAAGTGCCAAGGAGGGCGGGGGTGTGTGTGAAGCAGTCCGGGGGTGGGGTGGGGGCTGCCCCAGGCAGTGCTTTAGATAGAAGGCAGGGAGGGAGAGTGGGGAGTAAGCCTAAGAAAGAAAGGACTGGAAATGGAAGAACTTTTGGCTAGGGCAGCTGAAGCCCCCAGAGGCCTGGGGAGTCTCAGTCATCCTGGGACTCCAGCTCTTACAGGAAGCACTGAGGAGACCCTGGGACATATTTGGAGAGCTACCTGTCTTCCAAGTAGAGCTAAAAGGAGAGTGAGGGTGGATTCTTTGCTCATTGCCGCTGCTTTCTGAGGAGCTGCAGAATGGGGGTGGAGGTCGACGTTGCCCTTGAACCACTCAGGTACTGTGGCCGCAGCCTTCAAAGCCAGTTTGCAAGAAACCCCAATGGCCAAACACCTCTCCACTGTATGACTGCCCCTAGCTTTACCCAGCGAACCCCTTCCACATAAGTTCAGCACAGCTGTTGTTAAATCCGACTCTGTGCTCCCGTATGAAATTCACTCCCAGAGCGCAGAGATCTCCAGGGTTTCCAGCATCATGGTGGGACTGAGTGAGGTAGAGATTCAGGCAGGTCTGAGTTCGAATTCTGCCTCTGCCAACGATAAGCTGAGTGACTATGAACAACAGAGAACTACTTCAAAGGAAACATAATTAAAGCCCTCTGTTTACTTTAACACAGCTCCTAGAAGTCTCAAAGCCAGCCTCTAATGCCCACTGACAGTAGCCTGGTAGCGCCTCCCTTCGACACCCAGGGCATCCGAGGATGCAAAAACCACCGGAAAGATGTAATATGACTCCTTGAAGAGGCTGGGCATGTGGCTTGTGCTTGTAATCTTAGTAGAAACCTGAGGCAGGAGGATTCAGAGTTGAGGTCAGCCTGGGCTACAGAGGGAGGAGGAAGTGATAGATGGGCAAATGGATAGACAGACAGATGACAGACAGAGAGGCAGTTGGGACCCTGTAACGAAGGTACCCACACAGTTACCAGCTAAAACAAGAGCTCATGAATGAACTTTGTGGGGGTGTGAATATCCTGAGTTACACCTTGCGGTGGGTGTGAATATCTCTGATTCACTGAACAACTGGGTACACACAGGTGTTTTCCTGGGTCCCAGTCTGTTACTACTGTAAAACTACACATTTATGAGCCTGACACGTGGTTTGGACCTCAAAGAAATTTCTAAAGATTTTACTTTAGTTGTCGGCATTTAAAAACTGGGAGATGCCCCATAAAAAATTGTCTTTCTTCCTTTTTTTCCCCCCTCTCATTTTTCTCTTTGAGACAGGGTCTCAGGTTGCCCAGGCTGGCCTCAAACTCACCATGTAACCAAGGATGACCTCGAACTTCTGATTGTTCTGCCTCTGCCTCTGAGTGCCAGGATGACAGGCTCACCTATTTCACGCAGCACTGAGGACGGAACCCAGGGCTTGGCGCATGCTGAGTGAGCAGAGCTCTGTATTAATCGAGCTGCAACCCCACTCCTTCTGTTTCTGCTGCAAACTCTCAACCGAGAGACTCAGAGCTGTCTGTCTGTGATTAAGAAGCCATCCATCCCCCACTGCCCAGTCCACCGTGATCCCTGCCACACCAGATGATTGGCAAACAGGGGCTACAGGGCTCCTCAGCTTCCCAAAGTGCACCTGTGATTTAGGGACAGCAGGGGACCAGGAGGCCTGTAAGGGTGAGAGGTGGTTCTCTGGGATCCCGAGGCCTGTGGGTTCGGCTGCTCTAGTTAAAACAAGACGGTAGTATGAGGGCGTCCCACTTCACAGACCTCACTTTGCACCCTCCCCTGCCATTCACTGCCAGGAGAAGGGACGGGGGTGGGGGATGTTAAACTGGGTAGAGCCAACAGCAGGGCAATGTCCCACCTGTGGTTCCCACAGCACTGAACCCCCAGGGAGTCCAGGCTTCATTCTGGGAGCCTTGCTGGGCTCCGAGAATCCCAGAATCCCGATTTGTTCAGGGGGTGGGGGTCTTCCAGCTGTGTCCGCAGCTCCCGCTGCCTGCCTGGGTCTCCATGCTTTGGAGAGGTGGCTTCTCTCATCCTCACACCTCACCTCATCATGGTGGGGGTTGGGAATCCCCCTCCTTTGATGGAGAGGGAAACTGAGCCACACCTGCGATCATACACTTTGTCTGTCTTCTACCTTCTTCTGTCCTCAAGGTACTGCTGAAGGTGGGCGGGCTCTGTTATCCTCATTTTAAAATGTTAAAATTACACGTACTTGTTGATTTGTATGTGTCTGGCAGGGGTGGTGCATGTGCTATGATTTGTGTGCGGAGGTCAGAGGGTGACCTGTGGGAGTCCAGCTCTCTCCTTCCATGTGGGTTTGGAGATCCACTCGGGTCCGTCAGGCTTGGTGGCAAGCACTTTACCCACTGAACCATCTTGCCGGCCCCGTTTTCAATGACAGATGACGGCATGGCAGCCTCAACTTCCTCAAATCCCTTGTAACCACGTACACCTGCCCCAAAGATGCAAACTAAGCCACCACAGTCCACTGTCACCAACACTCAGAAACACTTGTTTGGCCAGTAAACCACAGAACACACAGAGGAAACAAAAATGCCTGACGGAACGTAACCTCTGGGAAGCAGAAACAGCAAGGTGGCTTCGGAGGGGAGGCCAGGGACAAGGACTCAGGAAAGCAAGAAGCGTAGAAATACGCAACTCGCAAGTCCCAGCTCTTACCTCTTGGGCAGACGCAGCACAGCTAATACATTCAGGCCACCAACCCGGTCCAGCCGAGAACCTGGAGGGAGAGAGGACAGAGTGAACATCCCTGGGCAGTAGGTCTGGGCCTCATGTAGGATGAGGCTCCCGCTCCAGTAGAGGCGCCCTCCTCCTGACTCCCCATCAACAATCTACACACCACGGGGACAAGTACTTGGGACTCAGGTCCTACTGAGTTGCTCTCAGTGACCACATCTGGCCTCCAAGACTCAACGTTCCCATCCTGTAACGGGCATACTGATGCCTACCCTTGTTGAAAACCTGTTTTTCCATCAGATGAGAAGCTTTTTGCTGTTGTTTTGGTTTTAACTTTTATGTATGTATTTTGTGTGTCCGTGCATACGCATGCACAGGACACATGTCAAAGGACACATAGCACAAACCAAAGGATGACTTCCAGGAATTATTTTTCTCCTTCTACCCGGTGGAGCCTGGAGCCCGAACTCAAGCCATGAGGCTTGGCGGCAAGTGCTTCTACCCACTGAACCATGTCTCTCCACCCCTTGTTTTGATTTTGAGACGGGATCTCACTATGCATCTCCACCTGGCCTGAAACTTGCCTTGTAGACCAGGCTGGCCTAACTCACAGGGATCTGTCTGTCTCTGCCTCCCCAGTGCTGGGATTAAAGGTGTGGGCCACCACACCCAGCCCTATTAATTTTTTTTTTGAGACAATCTTTCTATGCTGCTATGTAGCCCGGGTTGGTCTCAAGCTCATGAGCCTTCTGAGCACTCACTAGGATTAGAGTGTGCCACCACACTCTGCCTCAGGAAGTTCCTGGAAGGACAGGGAACTTCACGTCAGCAATGTTAGCATTTGGCAGTGGACCCAGCAAATGTGAAGTATTTATAAGATCACAAATGGATGGTTGAGTGAATCGTAAATTGATGGATGGATAAATTAATTAATTAGCAAACTGTATCTTAAAGGACTGCTGGCAAGATCTGGTGAGAAATAAATTAGAAAGGGTTGATCATTATGAAGTGCCTATAAGTGGTACGGACATGAAAATATAAGTTATGAGGTTGTGGTATTTCTGACTTGGGCATTTGTGTATTCAATTATTCATTTATGCAACAAATATTTCCATTCCTTTCTTTCCCTTTCTTCCTTTTCTTCCTTCTTTCTTCTTACCTCTCTTAGAGACAGGACCTCATACGTAGCCCAGGCTGGCCTGGTACTCACTATGTAGTCCACACTGACCTCAAACTCACGATCCTCCTGCCTCAGCCTCATCAGTGCTGGGATTACAGGCTTGTGCCACCATGTTTGACAAAACACTGAGGTTTTCTAAAGAGCCTCTGACCCAAGTGTGGGAGTCAAGGCAAGGATTAGACCAGATGTCTGTCCTGCCTTCCTGGTACTCACAGGCAAGTTGGGAAGACAAGACAGAGAGCCGCCACCAATGTGCTGTGGTAGGCAGACGGTGCAAGGGAAGGGAGAGGGAGGGAGGTCAGCCAAGTCAAATCTGGAAGGTGAATGAACTGTGGTCCAAGTTGGCAGGCTGTCCCCAAAGGAAACTGGCTTCTAAGCCTCCTCACAGTCCTACAAGGTGTAAGACAGAGGCTCCATCTTCTGCACTCTCCAGGTAGGACACCAGGGGTCACGACATAAAGCCTACAATGAGAGCAGATGTGGGTACAGAGCTTGGGTCTCCCTGCCTGCGACTGAAACCTGGTTTCCTGCCTCCTGGAGATGCAGGCTTCTTGGGAAAGCTGCCCAAGCCCATGTAAAGATCATTCTGGCCCCCTTCTGTGGGCATTTAGGGAAGGGGTTGGGGCTGTGGGATGCCAGCTTTCCACAGGTGACAGGATTTCTGGGAGGCTTCTCTTCAGTCAGATACAAAAAAGTATACAGTGAGCTGTGATGAGAGGTGGAGGCTAGCTGGGCATGGCAGCTCCCACGTTAGCAAGTGGAAGCCTGAGGCAAGAGGATCATGAGTTCAAGACCAACTTGGCTACATAGCAAGACTCTGTCTCAAGAAACAAGGTGGACAGTTCCTAAGGAATGACACCCAAGACCTCCACAACAACCACTCCCCACATGCACACACACAGACATACACACACACACAGACACACACACACACATGCACACACGCACCCATCCAAGATCCACGCATACGCATACACATTGTTGTGTAACAGTTTCCTCTGAGACAGAAACATTGTATCCCACAAGGAAGCTCCTTAAGCAGGAAGGTAAACAACTCAAAATAGCTTCAGGAAGTTCCTGAAACCAACCAGATTCAGGAGGCCCCTTCCTGCCAGAGTAATCAACAAAAGCTGAGAGTCCCTCAAAAAAGGGAAGCCAAGCTGCCAAGACTAAGACCAGACCAACTGAGGCACCTGGGAAAGACACCCTTCAGCCTGTGGCGCTGCCTGCAGGTGGCACATCCATCCCCACACATTACACATGTACACACATGACATTGTATGATTATGCAAGTGCGCGTGCGCACCCACGTACATGCACACACACACACACACACAGGGCATTGTATGATCACACACTTACTCCAAGAACATCTGGGCATAGTGGCTTATGCCTGCAATCCTAGCATTTGGGAACCCAAGAACGGAGATTTGGTCTCAAGTTTGAAGCCAGCCTGGGGTATATAGAGAGCTCTAGGTTAACCTGGCTACAGAGTGAAACTCTGTCTCCAAAACACAAACAAATCCCACCACTCAGGAGGCAGAGGTAGGCGGGTCTCTGTGAGTTCGAGGCCAGCCTGGTCTACAGAGTGAGTTCCAGGACAGCCAGGGCTACACAGAGAAACCCTGTCTGGAAAAACTAAACACAAACAAACAAGAATAACAGCGAGTCAGACACAAGGTCAGTTAGCCAAGCCCGGGGGTGCACTCAAGAAGGGAGGTGGGACTGCAGGAGGGGCAGTGGGGCAAGACTAGCCACGGACTTTCATGGACGACTTTCCTACGTCAAGGCAGACGGGCAGGTACAGATGGGCGACTGAGGCCCAGGATCAGACAAGGATTTGGGAAATTTGGGGCAGCATGGTGCTCAGAGGAGAGAGAAAAAGACAGGGATGGAGAGGAGAGAGAGACGGGGAGAGAAAAACAGAAGAAAACTGACCACGCAAAGAAAACAGGGAAAAGTCCCAAACAGGAAAGAAAAGAGGGGTTAAGGAGCTGAGGTCCTCCCAAGCTCCCCATTTCCTCTTTTCTTCCTGGGTGTCTGGCTGGGCCTCCATCCTCGGGGGCAGAGGGAGATGAGGACCCTGGTCCCTGGCGGGAGGGAGGGATGGGGTAGTGCCCCCTTGGGGGTTGTCCCCCCCCCCACCTCATGCACCCCTCCCCACCTCAGGGCTAATCAGTGGCTGTCATCTCCACGGTGAGGTCTTGGTTAAGGAGATTTAGGGCTGGGATCAATAGGAAATTTAAAAATCGATGCAGCGCGCAGGGCAAAATCGATGGCGTTTAATCGCCTTGCCGATTCCCAGTCAAAACAATTAGCCGCGCTGAGTGTTGAACACGGTGGCGACACGGCATTAACCGTCAATATTGGTGTAAGTGATGGCGGGCGGGAGGGGAATCCCCAGTCTCAGAGGAGCCCCCCTCAGTCAGACAGTGCCTTAGGGCTGGGGTCTTCCCCCAAGGCAGCTCGCAGGGCCTCTGTGTGTTTCTCAGCCCTCTGCTACCTTTGCCCACACAGTGCCCATGGGTAGCACCACCATGGCAGGCCTGCATCCAACACTGTTATCCCACTTTCCAGGCTCAGAACTCCCACGTCTCCCCTGCAGAGGGGAGAGAGTCCCTTTCCAAGCAGATATCTGCAGGCAGAGTCCAGTGGGCAGAGTGCTACCTTCCGGTAGTGCCTGAAGCCTGGCAACCCCCTCTTGTACATCTGGCATTGTGAGAAACAGAGCTGGCAGTCACCAGGCACAGGAAGAGACAGCGCCAGGACTTGAACCTTGTTCCCTGAGGTCAGGATTGGGTCCCAGTTCTCCTAGTCAGTATCTACACTGCTTGGCTGTATCCTGGAGTTATCTACCCACCCACATGCCATCCGATGAGCTGTCCGAGGGCAAGGTGAGGTCAGGCTACTCTGGGGATCCCCAGCAGCACCCAGAATAGGATATGGTTGCACAATGGGTCTTCAGGACAGTTCTATGATGATGGTGTTACTTGTCCCCACTGAGACAGCCTGCCCATATACCCCTCCACTGAGGGAGAGAGCAGCACAAACGTGAATATGAATGACGCCAGCAGTGCAGTGAGTACTTCCTAGTTCAGCCCATATACCAAACATTTCTAGATGTTCTGCAAGCGAGGTCGCAGATTCCTCTCAACTCTTGGGTTCACTGCAAACACACGGCTGAAGACATGGAGGCTCAGAAAGGTTAAGGCCAATTCTCCAAGGTCACACAGCTGAGAGCAGGCAGCGGTGACCGCCTGGCCATAGGACATAGTGCAAACAAGTTCCCCGACTGCAAGAAGTATGTGGGACAGGCAGCAGGCACCTAGAAAGGCAGTCAAAAGCGGCTCAGGCAGGGCTGGGGCTCCCAGTTTGGGGATTCTGTGATGGTTGCTTCTGCAGCCAGCTGCTCCCAGCCCCGGAAGAGCAAGAGGGAACACGTGGACAGGGGAGGAGGCCCGTGAGAGGAGCGGGGGATTGATCTGACAAGGTCCTAATCAAATGGTCAATATCACTGACCTGACCACTTAACCTATTGATAAGCTGGCAAGGATGGAGCAGGCGGTGAGTGGGCTCAAGGAACGAGGCAGCAAACAGGGTGGAGTGCTTGATGGGCAGAGCTCAGGTGTGCCCTGTGCCTGGGTCCCGGGGCCTGGGAGAGGGCAGTCTCCTCAAATGCCTTTTCTCTCCCCCCTCAAATGTCTCCTTCCTCTCCCCTAGGCGTATGCATTGGTGGACTTCCTCTAACCATGCTGTCTCCTTCAGGGCCTCGGCCTGAGGTGAAGCCAGGGACCGTGCCCACACCACCCTTACCTGCCCTCAACAATGCCTCCACTCTTCACACGCGTGAGAGGCTCTCTACG